GGGGTTGTAGGGGTGGTGATTGGAGGGGGCTCTATCATGGCTCATTCTTTTGTGAGTTGTTTTCAAAGAAAGAGACGGGTTTCTCTCCCATATCATATATATACATATAAGCTCTCTCTCATATCGTATATTTCATATAAGGTATACATGCATGTATTCATAGGTGTTAATATGCATACCTTTTTCTTATAAACAGAGGCATGAGAACACCATGTCACAAACTTTATAGTGCATTCTGAATAATTTGAATTTCGTTTATGTTTTGTATTACATATCGTGTTGTGTTCAATTTTTTTATTTTTTTTTTGGATACTCCCTTTAATTATGTTACTAAAATTCTCTCAATTTTCTAAATTTTATAATTTTCAAAATACACGTGTGATCTTACAATTGGTTTAAAACATAATTTAATTAAATTAAAATGCTTTTTAATGAATTTCAATAATATAACAAAAGTTATAAAATTACAATTGCTTACTATCATAATAAAATCAATAATTATGAAAATGTCAAAAATTTAATTCAAAAGGCTTTCCATTATATTTTTTCCGCTATCTTCTATTCATATAATAATAATTCCATTACCTTCAATTCTATTCCTATAATAATAATCTCGTTACCTTCAATACGGATGACATGTTTATTATAGAATAATTCCATTACCTTTATTACAAAAAATTTCCATAGAAATTCTAACACATTCTATAATAATACCAACGTTTCTTTTGAACTCAAAGACTTAATTCCTTTTCTTTTAAACTCTTTTTGATCTTTCAGAGGAGAATCACTACCTTCAGACTCCTACTATTTTTTTTATCTTTTGAAAGGTAATCATTGATGAATATTTGTGAATGCAACTTTTTTTTTTTATGATGTTAGATTCATGAGAAATCCTTGTTGCCTTAAATTGCGCTACTTCGAATGGTTTGAATTTGTGTTCATTGGTCTACCGGCCGAACAACCGGGTAAAGCACTTGTCGTGGTTGTCACCTTGTCAATCGTGACTGTCAACCTTTTTACCGAACGACCAACAAAACAAAATTCGAGCCATTCGAGACAAGATCAAAATTGAGATACGTAGCATTGCTCTTGATTCATAACTCTTTTATTATGTTAAATTTATATCATTCTCTTTTACGATGTCCAACTTTTAACATTTATAACTTATTGATACATTATTAGTATATTATTATTTTTTATGATTGATTTTTCTTTACTCTTTTTCTCACAATTATGCCCTCATTATATCTGAAATTTTTTTGCAGAATGGATCAAATCCATATTCATAGATAAAATGGAACAGGTTGCTAATGTGGTGCAAGTTACAAAAATGGAACATTCGCTATATGATAATATTTTTATTAATATTTTACTTTAATGAAATTTTTTTTTAAAGACATTCGCATGCATTTTCTTTTCAAATAAAACACAAATTTTAAACCTTAATCCTACTATGCGCAGCTAATAACTTTATTATTAGGAGTACATTTTCTTTTCAAAACAAAATTTTCTCAAACCCATGCTACGCATTAAATGTAAATATTAATAAGACTATTTTGATTGATATGCATTTAATGTAAATATTAATAAAAATATTTTGGTTTTCCATTGAAGCAAATATTAATAAAATTTTCTTAAACCTTAATTTTTTTTGTCACTAAAAGTTCATTTTGTATTTAATTAAAAAAAATTAATTAAAGTTTTTAGTAATAATTTTATTAATTTTTATTTTGGTTAATGTAAAACACATGAAGGTGTTTTTAATTATAGTTTTAGTAATAATTTTATTAATTTTTTTTTTTTAGGTTTAAGGTAAAACACATCAAGGTGTTTTTAATTAAATAAATATATTTTTGTTTTTAATTAAAACGCATATTAAGCAAAAAAAACTTTAAGGGAAAAATAACTTTTAGTGATCAAATATTTGTAGACAAAATTTTTCTCATATCTCTATAACAAAAGTTCATTTACGGACAAAATTAATTTTTAAAGACCAAATATTTTTATTGCCAAATTATTGTTGTTGTAAATTTAGTGATGAATTATTATTATTTTTATTTGTTTAAATATTTTAAAAATCAAATTATTTTATCCTTAAAAGTACATTTTTAGTGAGATTTTTAAAATTTTAATGCTAAAATACATTTATTTGGTTCTTGATACTATTATTGAGACTAATTTAGTATTTTTTTATATATGTATAACTTCTTAGGACTACTTTTTTTCTTTTTTCTTTTTTTTCTTTTTTTTTCACTTTTCGGAACCAACAAATTTGATACTTAAAACTATTACATGCTCGATACACGTTATAACACTTCTCACTCATAACAAAATAAATAATAGACAATTATTATATTATTATCCAGATTGATGCACATTTAATTTTGAAATAATTTTAATACTTTAATTTGTTAACAATTTATTATTATATTGTCAATATTTCACATTATCTTAAATTTTTTTTTTTGTCTTTATGAGCTACACAATAATTTTTTTTATTTTATTTTATGAAAATATAAAAAATATATATTAATAATATAAATGTATTAACCATGCAGGGATTACTCTAGTACATATATATATATATATAAAACCACAGTGTACCCAACCATACAACATAATGTGAAGTGCACATGATCAGTACACGTGTCATGGTTTGGTGCACCTAGCCCCTGATCAACTATTGGGGTGCACATGATTAGTACACGTGTCTAGTATATGTAATTGAAGGGCATTGATTTAGACTCCTTAGAACACCCACCCCACAACCCCCTCACACACATGGAGATTGGGGATTGCGTGAGAAGAAAAAAAAAAAAAAAAAAAAAAAAAGAGGAAAAGTTGACCAATCAAAACTAAAGGGGGTCAAGGGGGTCTCAACCTTTATTCTGTAATTGAAAAGGTATGATGAATCTTTGAAAAGTTTCTATGACAATAATTAATGATAACTTTCCAATTTTTCAAATATTCATCGTACCTTTTTCAATTAATAGTGAGTTGAAAATTTTGATTTAGTTACCAAAATACATTACAAAACAATGGGTAAGTTAATCTTAATAATCTTCCCCTCTATAAAATAATGACAATCTTAATTCTTTTCTGAATTATTTTTAAAGAAAGAGACAGGTTTCTCTCTCATATCATATATATACATATAAGGTATACATGTCTTCTTAGGTGTTAACATGCATATCTTTTCCTATAAACAGGGGCATGAAAACACTTCGAAGTCTCATTGCCATAAACTTTATAGTACATTCTGAATAATTTGAATTTCATTTATGTTTTGTATTACGTATCATGTTGTATTCAATTTTATTTTATTTTTTAAAATTTTTGAATTTATTTGTTTGTTTATGTGTTTTTACTATGAAGAACTCATGATAAGTATATATGAATTTGCAGATGGGTAGAGCTAAACAAAACATGGAACTCATACGCAATGATAAGACTCGATATGTGGCCTTTCAAAAGAGAAAGAAGGGGTTGAAAAAGAAGACTTACGAATTAAAAACCCTCTGTGATGTTAAAGTGTGCTTGATTATTTATGGTCCTAAGATCAATGATCGTCCTACAGATGATCAAGCAGAAATCTGGCCCCCAAATCTCGACGTAATTCAGCACTTGATCGACACCTACAAAAACCAATCTAGTGAAGATCGCACGAGGAGAACCCTTGGTTTGTCCGACTTTTTTGAGGATAGGAATCAAAAGATTGAAGACACGTTTGTAAAACTACGAAAGAAAAATGATGAGGCTAGGTACTCTACGTGGGATGTTCGGTACAATGGTTTGTCCAAAGAACAACTCAAAGAATTTGAAAGTGTTTTGGAGGGAAAGCTTCAAGATGTGAAGGCTAGGGTTGCATTCATGAAGGGTATTGATCAAAAACTGCCAGTAGCATGTATCAACGACAATTCTCACACTCAAACCACCCAAAACCAATCTTATTTCATGCATGGATGCATGTTTGGGACTGAAGTTGACAACGGCATTGCTAATTTACAGTACTCTTTCAATCAGGCTCAAGTTGATGCAAATTCCAAGGAGAATCCAATGATGATGATGACGATGATGCCAATGAACAATAATCAGTATTACAATCAACTTGGCGGCGTGTCTAACAGTAACTTTATCTGCAATCCACTAGATAGGCTAATTTATTATGATCCGATGATGTTGGAGAATGTGATTGTTAACAATCCTTCACAGCCTGTAAGCTACTGCAATCCGAGCATACAGACAATGTCACCGTATATGCAGTGTTTGAAGATGGAATGTGCTTCATCTAGTGTGCATCCTTCTCAGTTGGACAAGTAAGGGAATTTCAGATGATGAACCAGAAATGCATTTAGTTATTCTAATATGGTAGTAGAAATTGATTAGTTTTGGAAATAGAAGTCCAGTGTTTTTCTTTATTTGTTTTATTTATTTGTTTTTAGGGTTCTGATCAATTGATTTTAACTATTTATATAGATTTATGAAGTTAATAACTTCCAATTGACATTCATTGTTATACAAGAAAATGCAAATGGATAAATTTTGTTGGACTCTGGATGTGGCAAAAAAGAAAGAAAGAAAGTTGATTGCATAACAATGAGATTAGAGTACACTCAAATTGAAGTTGCTTTCATTCACTTCAATAATTTAGTGTCATACTATTGATCAAATGACTTTGGAAGAGAGCTTTGGTTCAGTAACTTTGAAGTAGATCAAAAGATGTTAGCAATAGACCATAACCACTCAACAGCCCTGCTTGGCGCAACTTGTAGGCATACATTTCTTCTTTTTTTTTTTGCAGAGCTTATGCTATGAGAATGTTTACTGCAACTTTTACTTATAACTTACAAATAAAAATAGTTTAAATAAACTGAAAATAATTAATTATTGAAAAAATGAGAGAAAAGTACTTCCTTCAACTTCTGCCTTTCTATTATGAACTTTTAGCTAGTAAGAAACTACCTCAAACAAACTCACTAAAACGATGAAAAAAAACTATGGAACAAGAAAAAATAACGAAGTAATTGATAAGAAAAACCCCTCCTCATATCACATTCAAACCACTGAATCTTTGTCAAACAATTCCATACTAAGCAAAAAACAAACACTTCAAAGCAATTCCAGACATCAGTTTGCCAGGGCTGGGGATTATAACTTGAAATGCACCAAGATTTGAAGAGAACAAGATCTCAGTTTACGGAATTAACAAATTTAGGCAACTCTTCAAAACAGCAATGGAACATCAAGAAACAAGGTCTTCTAACTTTGACATGGTTCGATAAAGACGACATGGTTTCTTAGAAACAGCACCCGCATCTGTTGCAGTTGTTTCCAGCTCATCTTCCATGGCATTAACTTCAATTCTCTGGGTCTCCACAGCAGCAATGCAAAAGGGAAACTCTGTTTGAATCAACGACTGCTTACAAAGTACAAACCTCATCTTGGTTTTGCTTCACCTCACTGCTATTATCTTCTGGTCTTGCACCACTTGCCTTCTTCCTTGGTATGAAGGTTATGGGAAGATGAGATGATACCTCCCCTGACTGTGACCCAGACTCTTTGGGCTTTGACATTTTTACCAGCTTAAGAAGGTCCACACAAGCTTGGCTATTGGATTCATCATCAATTTCACTGGACGAATCAAAACTGTAATGTGTATATTTGGAAGGATTCAACACATAATTGGGAAACCCTGGTGTATTTCCAGCCAACAAAGAGTTATGATGAGAAATGCTGTTCTCCATGGAGGAAGTACCCGTCATGAAATCTCGAGGTTTTTCTGAAGCTTCTTCACAATCATCTTTGCAATCTGGATCAAACCTCACATGTTTTTGCGCCTTGGAACTTGCCGCATTATTTTTCCTCTTCAATATAGATTTCAGTTTACAACCATCTTCTGATGCTTTAATATGTGGCTCCTCAACTTTTGGAATAGATTCATCATCACTAGTGTGATTAGAACAATACTTCTGATCTTCTACTTTCTCTTCATTCAGCCCAAGTCTTGCAGCAAATTGATTGGCGCGAGGATCCCTAGGGGCATTGTGGACAGAACTGGGAAGCACATTGTGAGAGTTCAAATATGGTCCATGATTGGTAACATCACTCATATACAAGCGATCACTAACATTCTCTCTGCCCTCGGCCACTTTATCATATTCATCTTCTTCTTCCTGAAGGCAGTTTGATCACAAGAAACATATCAGCCTTGGATGTAAACAGCCAGTCCATTGATTTCCCAAGGAAAGTTTGAAGCTAGTTGAAACCTCCAAATTCCCACACTCATCCAAATATATATAAAGAAACAAATTACAAGCAACCCTACAAGCATAGACAGACACTAGAATTCCACCAACGAAAGTAGATGAATATATAAAAAATTCATCCCAAATTTTTTCAAGATAAAACCAAATATGGTACCAACAAGAAATATAGCAATGTCTAAAACCAAGTTGAATGGTATTATCAACAAGAAATATTCTAAAACCAATGAGTACTCATTGCTTTTGTGCATTAAAAAATTATATCATCCATTGATTAGCAAATGTATTGTGCCATCTCAAGCAAATCCAAAACACAATCAACACCTTTATTTATTTATCAAACAAACTTATAAAATTAAAAAATTATTACTGTGTTTGAATCTTGAACTTGTGGTGAAACAATAAACTGAAAGGCAAAGAAATTGAAATAATAGAAGCTAAATATATATTTTCTTTTTTGGGAAAATGAGAAGAAAATTAATAGGAGATATTAGTCAAAAGAAATCTACTTTTTGGGTTAATTTAAGCATAAAATTAAAAATGTAGTCTATGTGTATTTTTTCTTTCCTTCACATCACAAATACAATCGAAGATCCAAAGGTAGCACCAGGTCACGTTGGTGTCCTTTGATCACATCATAATACTGTCATGTAACCATAATCAAGCAAAGCCTTCACATCCAATTAAGTAAAATCAAAACAAGAACAAACAGTTTCACCAACATAAATTAACAAAAATGAGAAACAAAATTCGAACTTGAACCTCGGTATCAAGCGTTGAGTCCAAGCCAATGGACGATCTGATCTCCCATTCGTCTCTACCATCACCCTCGCCATATTCAGAGGAATGCCTACCGCCTCCCAATTGATCATCATCGTCATTGATATCTTGGAGGTCGTGTCGTCGTCGAGTATTACTGGCGAAAAGGCCATCGAAGGAGATCATATAACCATAATCAAGCAAAGCCTTCACATCCAATTAAGTAAAATCAAAACAAGAACAAACAGTTTCACCAACATAAATTAACAAAAATGAGAAACAAAATTCGAACTTGAACCTCGTTATCAAGCGTTGAGTCCAAGCCAATGGACGATCTGATCTCCCATTCGTCTCTACCATCACCCTCGCCATATTCAGAGGAATGTCTACCGCCTCCCAATTGATCATCATCGTCATTGATATCTTGGAGGTCGTGTCGTCGTCGAGTATTTCTGGCGAAAAGGCCATCGAAGGAGAAAGAAACGGGGGTTTGGTCGTCGTCTTTTGCGGAGGAGGGTCGTCGCCACTGTCTCTTCTCGACCTCGTCGCCGGTGAGAGACCACGGAGGGCGTAGCGATGATGATGATGATGAAGATGAGGAGAGAGACCCGAAGATCTTCTGGACTCGAGCTCTGAAAGTGTTGTCCATGGAATCCGAAGAAGAAGCCATCGATGATTGGTTGATATTTGGTTGACGATTCAAGCAAGCCTGTATGTATGTATTGTGCTGTGGTGATGAATCTATTCTATCATGATTATTATTTATATGGATGGAGTATATATTTGTTCCTTGCCCTTGCCTTTTAAACAAACAAGGATTACTTTAGGCGGTGTTGCGTTGCATTACTTAGGCTAGGGCTATAACTGGGTTTCATTCAAATTAAACCCGATTCGATTCGGTTCATATGCCTATCTAAAAATTAAAAAAATTTCCAAATTTGAATACTATTATTTAATAATACAAATCTAAATTGGGAATAGTATGTCACATATTTTATTTTATTTTTAATGCACAATATTATTGTATTTATGTTTGATAATTTTTGTATTTTAGTAAGCTAATTATTCAATTTCGTCTCCAATAAAAATTAAACCCTTAATGAGAATTCGATAATTTCATTGGATTAGAAACCCGTTGGTCTTACATTGAGTAGTTAAATTAATATAAATATTTTCATTTATGTGGTATGAAACAAGTTAATCAACAGTTGATGAGGTGTTTTTTAAGAAATTTTGTTAAATATTCTCAAAGTGTATTAGGTGGTATTATTCATATAATGTGGTCAATAGAAAATTGCAACAAAATAAAGTCATAATTTCTCAACTATTTAATAAAAGTGAGTCAATATGTTTTACTTATAAAATTTATCGTTACATTATATTCTAAGATTACTAAATAATTATTCCTTTTCATTGGATATGATTTTTAAATTCAAATTTTACCACTATGTGATGTGGATTTCCCTTGTTAAAAAAATTGTGTGGAACAATCTAAACTTAAATTTTTATGTACATTACCAATTACCAACTCTATGGTTTAGCCTAGTTGCAAGGTGTTCAAATCAAAAGTGACCAAATCATATTGTATACTTCACCAGGAATGTCTTTGCTGTCACTACTAATGCTTTTGTTGTGTTACAAGAAAAACCACACCATTTTTTCTATTTTAAAAGTACTTTAGAGTATGTTTGTGAGTTGATTGTTTAAAGAACGTTCTGGTTGGTTACGTTGAAAATAGTTTTTAAAAACACTTTGATTAGGCCTCGTTTGGGAACAGGTTAATTTAGTAATTTTTTGGTTAATTGGCTAAAAAGGTAAGTATAAAAAACTTATATGTTTGGGATGACTTTTGACTAATTACGAAGAGCTGTGCAAAAAATAGAGAGAAGCCGTAATTGTTGACTTTTTGGTATGACTAATTGGTTAATTGGCTAATTTAGTAACTTTTTGGCTTATTGGCTAAAAAGGTAGCATCCCAAATGAGGCCTAAGTAAGTGTTTGGCATGCACTAAAAAAAATTTTTTTTTTACATACGTACACTTATTTGAGTCACATCTATCAACATTTCCTTTTTATTTTTCTACCCACTTTCTCTACTTTTCTACACATATTTTTATAAAAAATCAAAAAGTACACTTATTTAGAATATTTTAAACCACCTCTAAACATAGAGATTAGGAATGGAATGGAATGTCCCTTTCAATATTTTTCTGATGCCGTGTTGGGCTACATATCTCTACTTGTTGGTCCATACAGAGAGAGATGGAGAGATCGTGTTATGGATTGTCCAAATGGACCGAACTCTGGCCCAATACATGCACAAAATCTCTCTCTGTTGTCCTGTATTTGTTTTTTATTTAACAGCCCATTTTTCTCTCTAGTATATATTCCCTCTATGGCAATTTGGCACACATGCACATGCAAAGTCTCACAAAATGGATTGGTAGGCTATGATTCCGTAGTGGGAACTACATACATTCTAAGGCCAAGTTTGGGAAGACTAAAAAAGTGCATTTTTTATCTTTTTAGACTAAAAAATTGAGGTTGAAAATATGGATGTTTGGGTTAACTTTTTGACTTTTTATTGAAAAATGTGTAATAAAAAATTGTAAAAATTGATTTGTAGGAAAAAATTTGAGGAAAAATTTGAATTGGGAGTTGTGCAGCCGTAATTGTTGACTTTTGGTGAATAGTGTTAACTTTTTAACTTTTTAAGTAACTTTTTGACTTTTTGGTTTTTTTGGATCTTCCCAAACTTGCCCTAAGTATGATCTACATATCACACATTAAATTTGAATTTACATTGCATACTTTTTTTTTGGAGCAAGGTTTTAGGACTCCTTATAACTTTTTTTCCCAATATATCTATATGTATTTTCTAGTTTTTTTCTTATTTCAAGAGGTTTAATACTTATGTAATGTCCCACTACTTATTAGCCCAAGTTAGTTTTTGGGTTACACTACTTTTTGACCTAAGTAACTTGTGAGTCTACCAACACGATCCAAAAGCTAACTTGTGGAGACAAGCTCGTGGCTAGTCCAAAATAAGTTGCCTACAGAGTTGTGTGCATAGATCGGTTCTGATCCCATTTGTAACACTCTACTACTTGCAACATGACCCAAAACTTTAAACCCAAGTTATTAAGTAGTAAGGTAGTCTTAAGATTACTTATGTAAACTTCTGATGTAGGGCGGGGTGTTACAAAAAATGAATATGAACCTAATTTCTTAAAAATACTAAATTACTTATACAAATTAATTTAATTATTAATTTATCTAATAAAATAATTCTACACATAACTTGAGTTTTACATATCTGGGGAAAAAAAGATTTAATGATATTAAGAAGAGAATGAGCTCGAGTCCTTTGCTGATATGACTTCTGGTCTTGTTCTTTAACTTCTTTTGAAAAGATCTGATCAAAGTTTTTGAGAAACAAGTCTTTGGGCTTTTGTACAATCTGATGTTTATGTTTTGTCTGAACATGTTGTGGAAATTCTATATATGTGGCTTTTGTGATGTATGACTACTAATTTAGAGATTATTTCATTTTTACCCCTATACTTTGTCACGATTTTTACTCCCCCAGACTACTCTTATTTTCACGTGTACCCCTACACTATTTAAGTTACTATCAATTTTGCCCCTGCCGTCTGATCTGAAACAAAAAAAAGTTAAAAAAAAATTTCATTTTGGCACCAAATTTCAAAAGAAAGATACAGATCCACCCAGCAAACCACGACCAGCAACCACCACTTTAATCCCTTCTATCTCCTTCATCATAACTCCATTTTGCCTCATTTTTATGTCGTTGGATTCAACTCACGGTCTAGTTTTCATATCACATCTCACACGTATCGTTCTTCCTCTTTTTACATGCTATTGGAGCTCCGAAAGTTGATAAAAAAAAAAAAGACTTTTCTTCTCATTTTTTACTTTTCTTCGAGCCATCTTTCGGGCTTCATATCTTTCTCGATTCTTGACGGTTCTATTTCATTCTTTCGCCATTCTCCTCACCTCACTTCCTACTTCGCCCTATATTACCTCGCTTTCTCACTTCTTCATGTAATGGGTGGTTTTAGCATACCGAAAGTTGTCGAAAAACTAATTTCAAATTTTTTAAAACATTCATCTTTTGTTTCTTTCTTCTCCATCTTCCTCATTCTTGTTCTTCTTCTTCTTCTTCTTCACTTATAACATGATGTGAAACATGGTTCTAGGTGGTAATGGAGCTGGTGATGGTGGCAGTGACGGTTTGACGATGGCGATGGCACCAGCACTCAAGATAATGGTGGTCATGGAGTTTGAAAGTAGTAGTAATGGAATTTGCTTGTAAAAGAGGTGGGTTTGGTGTTGAAAGGTGGTGGTGATGGTGATGCTCATGGTGGTAGTGAAGTTGGTTTGGGTGGTGATGAGAAGATAATACAAAACTAAAATAGGCATTGGCATTCCATTCCAATTTTCAACATACCAAATGTGCTCCAAATCTTATACAACCAGTGATTGAGTCCGAATGTGTTCCACCTCATGAAACTGGACCAAGAGACCTCCAAAAATTATTTATTATTAGAAATTATCTACTACTGTCAATAAATATATGAACAAGCCAACCACCATTTAAAATTAGAAAAAAAAAATTACAGTAAAAAAAATATATATATATAACTCCAAGACCAAAACATCACATCATTAATGACGGGACCCACTGCCACCTAATTAGTGGGAGCACTAATTAGTGCTCCCAAGCATTTTTCTTTTCTTTTTCGTTTTGTTTATAAAGATGTACAATATATATTATAATTCGTAATATTCTTCATTTATCTATTGGTATATATATAAACATGTCCCTTAGTTTTTACTAAACAACATAAAAACTAAATCTAGAAAAATCTTTGTAATTGATGTTAGTTATATGCATTCATAGTCTTTTGGTGTGGATTATAGTAATTTTTTATTTTGAGAGTTTATGTTAGAGTATTACTGATACATTCACATAAATCACATATTTATCTACTACAGTGGCAATGAATAGATTAACACAAACCGTGGTTGATTCCAGTCACTCTCAACTAGCTTACAATAACAATACAATGAGTTCTTGTGATTGGGATGATCAACTATAGGTCAAATCAATAGTTACAAACTTATCTCTCAATGTAAGTGCAATGAGCACAAGTGATTGTGTACCAAGGCCTGGAAGTTGAACTCTGCTTTATACCTATTTACTTTACTGTTGAGAGTTTTGTGCAACTTTTTGCCTATGTTGCTTTGCCATAAGTGGTATTGTGCCCTGGTTGAGTGATTTTTTTCCAAGAAATGATAAGTATTATCTCACTTATTGTGGATTTATCCTTGACTTGGTTCATTTTGTGCTTGGGCTTCCCGTCTAAACTTTATGTTCGACTAAACATTTGACTAGATGATTATCCAAACACCTAATCACACATTTTGTTCGCGTGACCTTTTCTTTGTTTGGCTAAGCACCATAGTCATACAAAATTATTTTTTACACTATTCTTTGCTTATAACTTATGAGATTAAAAAAAAAAAGCTAATTATCATAATGTGTTGAGATTTATGTTCTTAGCTTTTACATTTAATTATCAACTTTTACCTTATAATTAATTTTACTAAATTGACCCCATTAATCAGGCAAAGAACATTAGTTATTTCAGTATATGAGTGGCAAAGTCAGTGGAGTGACATATAATTATAAATTAAGGTGATGGCAAAAGATGAAACTAATTGACTTTTTTTATTTAATAAGTTTGTAATTTTCTTCTAATTAAATTTACAGGGGATTTTCTCAAATCAAAACAG